GGCGGAATCAGTGGCTGAATCAGGACGCCTGGGGCAGAGCAGGTGGGGTGCTGCTGGGTTGGTCCAGTAGCGCCGAGGAGCGGCCGCGCTACTGGACCACAGGAAGCCCGAGGCAGAGTTGCTCTGCCCCGGGCTTCCTGGAATCAGCTGCTGATCAGTTTCAGCAGCAGCTGACTTGGGGGCGCCTGGGGTTCTTAAGTTGAATCTGTATGTAAGTCAGAACTGGTGTCCAGATTCAGCGGCTGAATCTGGATGCCAATTCCGACTTACATACAGATTCAACTTAAGAACAAACCTACAGTCCCTACCTTGTACGTAACCCGGGGACTGCCTGTATATACACTCTGTAGCCTGCCACTATGAAAAATATGCCACTGCTTCCATAAACACACAACCCTAGGCCACTAAAGACGACCATGGACTTGTGTGCATATACTTTTTCTGGGTCTGATGCCAACTTCCTTAAAATGAGACTTTTGCCTCTATGTTAATGGGAGCTTTTTCTTTGCAAAGAACTCAGGATGAGGTCTTTACTGTGTTTATCTACACAACATGCTGCTTTCTAAAGTTTTAAAGTTAACTTTTGCTCTAATAATAATAAACTCTTTGTTTAACAATAGTATCAAGTAACTCAAAACAGTTAAGTTAAAAAAACAAGGTGCTATTTTATTTAGAACAGATCAAACTTGTTTTTGTTTTTCAAATCACTCTTGGCAGAACCATAAACAACTTTTCTAAAAAATGCCTTCCCAGGTATATGTTGATTAATTAAAATTACCAATCAAATTCCTAAAAAAAGTATACAATAGATACAACAGTAGATTTTTTACATCACAGCTTTCAAGATAGAACAGTTTATAAGCTAAACATTCTGTTGTTTTGTTGTTGCTTTAATATCCTGTTAAACACTGTTCAACAAGAAAATGTTCAATTTCTTACTTGTAAATTTGGAAAATGAGTGCCTCTTCACCACTTGTAGTGAACCGTTCTCTATAAAACTCTCCATGAGAGGTAAGATCACTTAGGGACAGGCTTCCAATGCTTCCCTGTAGGGCTAAGTCTCCATCTACAAAACAAGAAAAGGCCATTATCTACCTTCGAGAATATTAATATTAATTAACTGTCTGAAATAAATCCCTTGTCATTGCATGATACAATTACCTTTACTAGGACAACCTAGACTTTAACAGACTATTGAAAAAACAAAGAAATAGGAAAACACAAAATACCACATTCCAAAAATCAAAGCAAATAATTTCCATAAGTAAAATAAAGAGGCTGTGCTAAATAGTTTATGTTGGCAAAAATGTTTGCATATATAGACTAACCATTTCATTTCATGTGTGTGGGGTTCCCTCTAAAGATGTGAAAGGTGAACCGGTTAGCTTCATCCTTACTGTTTCCAGTTAACTGGTGGGGCTGCTGTGGTCCCATGGCTGAAGCATCCCCATCTGTGGCGGGCCCTGGCTCCTGGATCAGCTGCCACCCCCACCTGTTCTCCTTTACTCGGCTAACTGGTTAAACACTATGTTTAACTGGTTAACCAGTTAAATGGGATTTTACATCCCTAAACCCGAGGCCTAAAAACTGACTAGTACGAATACATTCTGAAAATCTCTCTCATTGAGAAAAATCATATACATTCTGAAAACTAAACATTTTATAGATATGAAAATCTCTCTCATTGAGAAAAATCAATGTCACTTTTTATAAAACAAAACAAAAAAGATTAAAAAACGAAACCAATTAAGGTCCTAGCTGAATTGAGCATAAAGGTTTAAGTGTTCAGCATGCTACAAGGGCGCAAAAGTTGCAAAAAGAGGTTGTTGTGAGATTAATCCTCTAAACCGAGTACCCTATTCTTCACAACATGCTGGAAATTCTCTTTAAGATACACATTTGGATGGAATTAATATAAGACTGGAAAAGAATGGCTTCATGACTGTTTAAACAGAATAGTTATGCATAACTGTCTTTCACCATTGTAAAGGTTTACAAAAAACTAGACATGGCAGGATATAAAACGCCATTTACAGAAAATGAACTGGTTCTATATATTTATGGCACCTCCAACTACTCAGAGTTACCTAATCTATACAACCCTGGCTTTGAGCACAGCTTAAAGTGAATATATTTTTCAAAGTATTATGAGGGTATTCCTATTTCAGTGTTTACAAGGAACACCATAAGATACAGTATAAGTCATATGTGTGGAAAAACACTGGAAGCTATCAATACCAATTAACTACTGAAAGTCTGCATTCAAACTTGCCTGACCTGACAAGCAAAAAACGCCCAGTAAAGGAAAACCAGTTCAAGACGCTATTTCAAGTCCGTGAATTTTCCTCATTCTAAACTATATGCATTTTTAAATGTTAACTACCACCTATACTCACCTGTCATTTCCAGGTACGTGACAAGTTTTGACACATTAGCTTTAGCCAGCTCACTGGTCGCCTTATTCAATACTAAGGATAGGGAATGAACCTAGTCAAGCAAAAAAAAAACAAGAGAGTGATATTATGTAATATGATCATAACTGGAACCAACTCTGAACTGACTAGAAAAGGGGGAAGTAAAGCCCCTCTTTCATTGAAAAACAAAAAACCCTCAATTTTAAAAGAAAACTTTTGCCATTAATACCCATATCATGCCCTCCACACAAGACTATCTAACTTGCCTGCCTTTCTGATGATCCAAGCCCCACGTTGGAATCCCTTATCACTCATTTTGTCATTGCATAAAGTTCAAGGGTTTTGTTCTTATTCACAAGGTCCTTCACAGCTCTGCCCATCCTTCCACATCTGCTAGTCTCTTACTGCATTTTCCACTCTTCCAATAACAGCCTTAACCATCCATTTCTCCCACAGTTGCCTTTGTGTTTCCCTCCAAGTATCCATTATACATGGAACATCCAAGTGAACTAGCCAAGTTCACAACCCGATTCTCCTCCATATGCCATTTCAAGACACACTTCTACTATGACTCCTAAATGAACTCAGTCCACTAACAAAGGGCATATTGGGAGGCATGTCTCATCCTTTTGAGTAGAGATTTATTTACATTAAAAAAAACTCAAGTTACTCAGAACCCCTCAAGGACGTACTACAATTAATTTCATCCTCCTTCCCCTTCCCTCTTAATGTTTGTGCCTTGTCACAATTACATTGCAAGATCCCTGGGGAAACAACTGTATTCCTATGTGTCAGTGCCTAGCATAATGAATCGCCAATTTTGACCAGGACCTTTGGGACCTAAATGGGTGCAACTACCACCTAATTAGTCTTATAAGACTCATTTGGGGGTCTCAACACCACCGACTGCAAGTCATAGGGGGCTTGTTGAGCACTCTCTGCATCATAAGGATCTTAAGATTTTTCATAAGGATCTTAAGGATCTGCATCATAAGGATCTTAAGATTTTTAATTGACCGCTCACACTAGCTCTACAATTGTGGGCTCCAGTGAGCATTGAGGACCATAGCTTAACCACCCAAATCTTCTTTAGAAGGGTTCTTCAGAGATTTCCCACACACTCACCCCTCAAAATTTTAGGACACTCGTGGTTGCCCTCTTAATCCCTAAACCAGGCAAGCCTCCTGACACTTGGCAGGGGCCTCAAACTTAAGTGGAGCATATAAACCTCAAGAAGGTTATGGTGTCATCACTATAAGGATGTTTTGGGGGCCCAACAAAGCCAATTTCTCCCTAGAAGACTCATGAGGCTTGGTCATCTATGGCATGGGAGGATGACCCTAATTAGGAGTCAAATAAATTCTGACAAGCATAATAAAATATCCGAGATGCCTGGGGGTGATAAGATTTTGGGGTTCCAATTAGCCAGATAAAATCAGAAGGGAGCAAGAAGTCTTCCTAGTCTGCTCCCTAAGGATTGCGGAGGTGGCAACAGTATTTCAATTAGCTAGATAAAATTAGAAGGGAGCAAGAAGTCTTCCTACTCTGCTCCCTAAGGATTGCGGAGGTGGCAACAGTACTGGGGCTCTGACTACTCTCCTACCACACAACAGATGACAGTCTCTGTCCTCCTCAAATTATCATAGAACAGACAAACCCAGTATTCCAAAACACTGGCTAGCCAAGACTTTCCTCTAAAAATCAAATCTGTTCGCTTACCCCAAATACAACATCTTTGCAAAATGAGGGTTTAATAATAATCAAATTACAATTTATATGTAGTTCCCTCTAAAGACTTTGGAATAATTGAGATTTACTGCAATACTGTGCATAGTATACATATGAATGATCACCACTGTAAATATAAAATGTTAAATTAAAAACACACTATTTCCATAAAGCAATGCCTTATGGAGACAAACATGGTAAACCCCCAGCACCTCTATTTCTAGTACCTTAAGTTTCAACTTAGTGTTTACAGGATCCTCAACTTCAGAAGTCGGTAAGACATTTGTTTCTGATTTAACCATCTGCTGAATATCCTCAGGTTGTTGCTTCATAGCATGGTTGTCAGCAGTGGAGCCAATCCCAAAAAAATCCAATATCACCACCCAGGTTTGCAATGTTATTAAAACGTCAAGGCAATTGAAGTCAACATCCACGCTACGGTTAATTTTGTTATAGCAAGAAGAAAATTCAGAATGTTTCTTGTCCACTAGGAATATATTGATATGAACCAATGAATCATCAAAGTTATTTTTTCCAGAAGGGACCTTCGACTTGCTTAATGTTGGAGAAGGAGGTGGGGTCAAAGGATATTCAGAATCAGCATCTTCTTTTTGTGCCTTACGGGAGGCACAAATTGGTCTTTGGTATAACTGAAAAACATTTGGTGCTTCTTCCATGTGGGAAGGGAGGGAACGTGGCATGTCTGGATACTCCACATTGGATACTGATGGGCAAGATTGGGAAAGATATTCCTTGTGCACTAAACTGGAGGGTTTGGGTGCACCCCGGGATACCATGAGGTTCTTGTGCATGGAATCTGGACTTTTTTCCAACAGGTCTTCCATCAACAGAGAACGCAAGGTAATCTGAACAGATAAAGTATGTGGATGATCCTTAGTGAATTCAACATCAAAGTCCTGAAACTTTAAGCTGACCAGACCTTGTGCTCCAAGTGTAAGATCTCCACATAACTGAACCTGGAGTTCTGAAATATGAAAGTTTGCTTGAATGTGGGTAAAAGATTTTGTTTCTCTAACAGGAATCGACTTGTTTGGAACAGCAGAAAAGCTGGAATGGCTGAACAATCCATTCTCCTTCCGTTCATTCGAGAACTCTGATCCTACACTACGAAGTAATGCTGAAGGAGAACTAGGATAAGTTGAAGATGTAGAACTGGATACAAATTTATTCAAATCTTCATCGTAAATTAAGTTGTCAAGGGTTTGCAAAACTTGCTCATACACATGTTTTGCTAGCACCACCTGCATTTAAAAACAGTCATCAATATTTTCCATATTCAGCAAGTGTGTAAAATATCTCCATACTTTCTTAATGTTAAAATTTGTTATAGTACTTTAGGCCCCAACAACTGACTTTCATTAAAATTCTGAAAACATCTTGTAGAAAATCTTGAAAAGCATTCTATTCATTATCAAGACTGCTTATCTGCTTAAGTGTATCTGCTTTGCTTCCTTCTACGCACCACCTCTATCCACCATTGTTATTTGATTTAAGAACATTCAAAACAAAAAGACATATAAATTCTTAACATTTCATCTTTCTACAGTTTCTTCACATAAAATTATACTCCTCTGTCACACCATCATAATTTCCACAGCAACTAATCAATATCACAGGTAAAGGATTAGCCTTTAAAGAAAACACTGGCTCAATTTATGGTGAATATTTGAAATACACAACAGTCTGTTTCAAACTGAAGGGAGGGTAGGTCTGACTAGAGAAATCCTGCATACAGCATAGAAGCTAGTACAGAAATTGAACTGTTCCACAAATTCAAGATTTCAATATCTGCAGTCGCACTAAGCTTGCATTGGAAATGCTAAATTAAAAATCGGGGGATTCAATCACAATGAGAAAGATACAACATTTTTGATCAATGATAACTTTGTGTTTGTTATAGAAACTATGAGATTTTCTAAATGCCATGTCATAACATAGTTTTAACAGAATTTGTTTTTAATTAAGGTTGGTAAAAATTACCAGAAGGACAGCTCTGAAGAGTTAATTCCTTTTTACCACAGCAGTAATGCACCCAGGCAGTGGCAGTACAGGCAGTCCCCGGGTTACGTACAAGATAGGGACTGTAGATTTGTTCTTAAGTTGAATCTGTATGTAAGTCGCAACTGGCGTCCAGATTCAGCCGCTGCTGAAACTGACCAGCAGCTGACTACAGGAA